GGGGGCCCCCCAGGGGGGCCCCCCAGAGGCCCCTAAGGGGGGCCCCTACGGGGGCCCCCCAGGGGCCCCCTAAGGGGGGCCCCTGGGAGAGGGGAGAAGACGGTTTTGGTGCGGGTTTTTTGGCATTTTGCGTTTTATTAATTCCATTTTGTTTATTCATTTATCGTTAATTTTATTATTTATTTATTTATTTATTTATTTATTCATTTGTTTTTTGCGATTTGGCTAAAAGGCCTCTCAGAGCAATTTGGCGTTTCTGCTTGACGCTGGACTGACAGATATATTCTTCGACGGTGGGCGAGGGTTTAGGTTTTAGGGTTTAGGGTTTAGGGTTTAGGGTTTGGGGTTTGGGTTTAGGATAAAGAGGCCTCTGTACAGGCGCCGCCTCTATTGAGCTCCAGCGCTGTGGCCGCAAACACAGCTTTGCTGCTGCTGCTGTTCCTGTTGCTGCTGCTGCTACTGCTGCTTCTGCTGCTGCTGCTGCTGCAGGTACAATCCGACGGAAGCGTTTGCATGCGCAGCGCTTTTATGAAATGGCTGCAGCCCAAGGGTCTCTTTCTGCTCAGCTGAGGCTAGGTATTAAAACTGCTGCTGCTGCTGCTGCTGCTGCTGCTGCCGTGGCTGCTCGCGCTGCTGGTGCTGCTGCAGTTGCCTTGGCTGTTGGCGCTGCTGCTGCTTCTGATGCTGCTGCCTCAGTTGCTGCTGCTGCTGCTGCTCGCGCTACTGCTGCTACTGCGTCGACGCCTTTTGCACTGGAGCAACAGCTTGCTCTCTACCGCCTATCGGGGTTAAGGGTTTAGGGTTTAGGGTTTAGGGTTTTGCGGTTACAGGAGATTTCGCCTACTATGGCTACGGTGTTCGCCGCCGCAGCTCCAGCATGAAATACCCGAGAGACTTTGTGGATGAGAAAGGTGAGGGTTTAGGGTTTAGGGTTTGGGGTTCAGGGTTTAGGGTTTAGCGTTTAGGGTTTGAGGGCAGCTCTTCGTAGCTGTCTAAGCAGAGTGGGTGCACAAGGGGTAAAGGTCTAGGATTCAGGGTTTTGGGCTCAGAGTTTAGGGTTTAAGGTTTACGGTTTAGGGTTTAAAGTTTAGGGTTTAGGGTTTAGGGTTTAGGGTTTGTGTTCAGGCGAGTCGTTTGACGGGTGGCTTTTTCAGCCCAAATTATGGCTTGAGGAGGGCGTGAGGGACTTTGCTGAGGCTGCAGGTAATTAGGGTTTAGGGTTTAAGGTTTAGGGTTTGGGGTTTAGAGTTTACAGGTGGTCCCGAGGGCACTAAACATTTCACAGAAATAAGAGTTGAACGCATAGGATTAAGGGTTTAGGGTTTAGGGTTTAGGGTTTTGTTTGTCCGCAGCACTTTACCGCAGTGTTGCGGACTCCGCCAACTGGGGCCCTGCCCTAGCTGCCAAGGTATGTCTGCAGCAGCAGCAGCAGCAACAGCAGCAGCAGCAACAGCAGCAGCAGCAGCAGCAGCAGCA